CATCCTCAAAATCAAGTGCTGCACTGCCGTCTCCTGTCTGTTCTGGAACCCCTCATAAAACATTAAAAGAAAAGTAGCTGAATTTGACCATGTATCTTTCCGTGATCGGTAGCTTACAGAACCTTTTGGCAGGAGCTCTTCCCTTTCCATAAGCGTTTTTAGTTTAACAGCCATTATCTTTTCTAGCACCTTGCCAACAGTATTTTGTATGGTAATAATTGTGAAACCGCTGAGTCTGGAATGATCTTTGCCTGGTTTTGGAAGTGGGATCAGGTAGCTGTGTAGCCAATTCTTGGGTAATGAAGCGGTTATGATGCTCTGGTTAAAGGGACATGCCAACTCCCTCAAGTCTTCATCACTCATGCTCTTCATGTGGGCATACCTGACTCCGTCTGGCCCAGGTGCAGTGTCCTTTGCTTTTTGCAAGACATATTTTATATCTTCTGCCCTAATGACATCCTTAAAATAATTATTATTTATAGTATTAGACAGATTATCTTAAACTAAATATTTAAACTTCATATCATTATGAGCAGTTTCAAAAATGCTTCCTCTTTTTCCTTGTCTGTGGTCTTTGGCATATTATTAACAGTGTATATAATGCCTGTTGTGATAGATCGATGCTACCTTTGCAAAACCTACCCAGTGATTTATCATCTACAATTTCGCTCATAAAATATTCCCATTTAGCATTTTTTTTTTCATCTGCTGCACAGCGCTTGAACTTTTCTAATTTTTCTTTTCTAACCCTTTCTTGCTTCTCTCAATCCTCTTGTCATCTGTAACGTGCCTGTCGCACCTTCTGTAATTGTTTAACTGCTGATCGCTTTGCTCTCCATGACTGTTCTACTTATAGGATCCACCATGGAGGCTGCACAAAAGCAGATGTGGTAGTTCTGCTGCATACCCTCTGTCGAAGGCGTCCAAGAAGTGTACTGGCCTTTAGAGCGAAAGGGGCACACTTAAGTCGTAAGTTCCATCCATGATCAGGAAAACCCTTCTACAGTCAAGACCGTTGTGCGTGACCGGAGAGGCACAAAACACAACGGATCTAAGGGAGACAACCTCGATAAAAGCCCCAAGCCTACGGTGGACCTACGTGCCTATTGTCTGAATGAGTGCAGGTTATACATTCATGAACGTGGACGTCTGGTTAGCTAGTTGGGTGGCGCCAGGCGTATGGACTCAGTCTGGACAGCCCCTGCCTCTTCTCTAGCAGGCAGGCAATACTAGGTGACCGTTTACTTCCTGTATTTAAAGAATATTTTCTTTGGATTGAGTACTTAGTAATAAACAGAATCATAGCAGGAGCTACGGAGTACGTGCAGTGTGCTGGATACCATCATCAGGTGGCAACATAGAGAGTGGGAAGAGGAGAATAGCAAAGGGAGAGAGAGAAAAGCACAGAAATTGAGAGCTGGAGCGCAGAAAATCAGGCGAAAAACGGAGCGTGTGAAATTAAAGCAGATTATAGTGGGTTACTGGAATGATCGTTCGTACATGCAAGCAGAGAGGACCTGTAATGGAGAGGCTGATTTATGATTTTGATATTCTCATGCTTCAGGAATTAAACATAGATAGATTTGATTGTCCTGGATACACCAATTGTATAAATCCTACCGGACAGGGAAGACATGGGCAGTGTCTGCTGGTAAAGAATGGGGTGAAGCATGTGCTACTTGACCTGGGCCAGTGTAATGATAGTACACTAGAGGTTCAGGGTATGCAGATGGATATTGGGGGCACAGACATAATTAAAAGTTTTGCCCGTTCTCACAGTCATGATCAGCTTTAGAAATCAAGAATGAGCATGGCATATGGTCACTCTCATGATTGCCTAGGACACTAAAGGTTTTGCCTAGTTATTGCTGACTGAGTAACAAAGGCCAAATCACTTGCTGTGTCTGTATTACCACGTTTCTTGTCACTCTAGCTGGCCTACCATCGTTTATACAGACTATGTCTTCCTCGATCATATCCTCTGTTAAAACATTTCCTCGACTAGTTTCCCCAGTACTATCCCATGCTCTGCTCTGCTTAGGGAAATCCCCACAAATGAGAAGCCTATTATCAGGGCGTCGGCTCTGTAGCTAAGTCGATGCGAACGCTTCGTAATGCCGGGATGCCGGGTTCGATCCAAGCTGCAGGCCACGCGCCTTGCGTTGGTTTCGACGGTGGTATCAAGAATGCTGACCGTCCAGAAGCAATGGCAAACTACTGGACGTAAATTTGCCTAGAGAAGCCACACAACAGCCAGGGGCTTTTAGGGTTGGCTCTGCAACGTCCTGTAAAGGATACGCAACTAACATTTACCTTTACATTACCAGGGGGTTTTCTCCGACTCTTCGAGCCAGTCCCAGTGTTCTTTTATGACAAGAGAGTCAAAGCAGCGGAAACATTTACTAAATTTCTCGCTGTGCCCCCAATATCCATCTGCATACCCTGAACCTCTAGTGTACTATCATTACACTGGCCCAGGTCAAGTAGCACATGCTTCACCCCATTCTTTACCAGCAGACACTGCCCATGTCTTCCCTGTCCGGTAGGATTTATACAATTGGTGTATCCAGGACAATCAAATCTATCTATGTTTAATTCCTGAAGCATGAGAATATCAAAATCATAAATCAGCCTCTCCATTACAGGTCCTCTCTGCTTGCATGTACGAACGATCATTCCAGTAACCCACTATAATCTGCTTTAATTTCACACGCTCCGTTTTTCGCCTGATTTTCTGCGCTCCAGCTCTCAATTTCTGTGCTTTTCTCTCTCTCCCTTTGCTATTCTCCTCTTCCCACTCTCTATGTTGCCACCTGATGATGGTATCCAGCACACTGCACGTACTCCGTAGCTCCTGCTATGATTCTGTTTATTACTAAGTACTCAATCCAAAGAAAATATTCTTTAAATACAGGAAGTAAACGGTCACCTAGTATTGCCTGCCTGCTAGAGAAGAGGCAGGGGCTGTCCAGACTGAGTCCATACGCCTGGCGCCACCCAACTAGCTAACCAGACGTCCACGTTCATGAATGTATAACCTGCACTCATTCAGACAATAGGCACGTAGGTCCACCGTAGGCTTGGGGCTTTTATCGAGGTTGTCTCCCTTAGATCCGTTGTGTTTTGTGCCTCTCCGGTCACGCACAACGGTCTTGACTGTAGAAGGGTTTTCCTGATCATGGATGGAACTTACGACTTAAGTGTGCCCCTTTCGCTCTAAAGGCGCAAGTACGTATAGGGCTAGACCAAGCTCTTAAGACAGAACAGGTGATATTCTCCACTGCGCGACAGATCGGAAATCTACAGCCCTGGAACTCTCTGATCCATGTGTATTCCGATACACAATAATCATCGCTGGCTATTCGCTTATATTTCGTCCATGTTCCTAAGGGTTCTAATAATGTATATACAGTCATCTCCTTGTGAGACGCAATTTTTCGTTATTTGAAGCCCTACTCTGGCTTTTGCCACGGGCCGCAATATAGCCCCGCCATAAATATGGCCTAATGGCTGAACGCGGTTTCTGGGACCTCTCCACGGGTGATCCTATCCGCATGGTTGGTGGGGTACAATTACCAACCTACCTACCTACCTGTGGCGTATTGCAGGCTGAAAAAAAAATCAATAATTACACAGTATATAACAAACATATTAACTTCCCTGCGACATCCAGCTGTGAAATACAGTGACGTCATGTGTTTGAACTGATAAGCGGTTTTTGATATAAGCGATGAAAAACCGACACCAAGCGTAAACTTCTCAGCTTGAAATTATTAATGTTAGCTAGTGCCTCCATCCCGAAAGCGGAAGAAAACCAGACTAAACCGGGTAATGTCCTGGGAATTTAAGGCACGTGGTGTGATGGTGACCACATCACCCCCAGAGTGCCGACTGGTCTATACAAATAGGAGCCTAACATCATATGCCATAAGACAAGTACTAATAAACGCAGAGTAGAGTCTAACCTACGCAGAGTAGAGTCAAACCTACGCAGAGTAGAGTCAAACCTACGCAGAGTAGAGTCTAACCTACGCAGAGTAGAGTCAAACCTACGCAGAGTAGAGTCTAACCTACGCAGAGTAGAGTCAAACCTACGCAGAGTAGAGTCAAACCTAAGCAGAGTAGAGTCAAACCTAAGCAGAGTAGAGTCAAACCTAAACAAAGTAGAGTCAAACCTAAGCAGAGTAGAGTCAAACCTAAGCAGAGTAGAGTCAAACCTACGCAGAGTAGAGTCAAACCTACGCAAAGTAGAGTCTAACCTACGCAGAGTAGAGTCAAACCTACGCAGAGTAGAGTCTAACCTACGCAGAGTAGAGTCAAACCTACGCAGAGTAGAGTCAAACCTAAGCAGAGTAGAGTCAAACCTAAGCAGAGTAGAGTCAAACCTAAACAAAGTAGAGTCAAACCTAAGCAGAGTAGAGTCAAACCTACGCAGAGTAGAGTCAAACCTAAGCAGAGTAGAGTCAAACCTATAAGCAGAGTAGAGTCAAACCTACGCAGAGTAGAGTCAATCAAATGTTACTATAGAATCACAAATGCAGAGCTTTGAAAGAAAACTAAACAAGTTCCAGTGGACCAAGAGGTGATGAAAAAACGATGGCTTTGGATAAAACACGGGTTGAGAAAACCTGAGAACGATATAGCATTAATGTCCTTGTTCTGGAACCAAATGGGGCGTAGAAATAAAGGAAGACGAAAAACACATAAAAAAAAAAAGAGTTTAAAAGGATGGTGAGGCCATGACATCCAATAGCGAAGTTAGTTAAGAGCTCCTTCCCAAATATGGCATAGAAAGCGAGAAGAATCATATTTAAACAAGTATCGTTTACTTGTTATTTACCATATGCACGGTGCAGCAGTATCGTTATTTACCATATGCACGGTGCGGCAGTATCATTGCAAGGGGGCCTTTCTGTTTTTAAAGTAATTCTCTGCTTGTCTTGAATATTTAAAAATAAAAAGTATTTATTGTCGATTTATTGCGGTTTTTTTCTTTTCAGAAACATACAACATGAGCCACAGAGATCAAGATGTCATCATTCCCACATTCGACACTACCACTCCTGAGCGTCACAACTAAATCAGTTTTGGAGACCCGAGGCTGGGAACCTCCCACACCCCCCCCCCCACCCACCCCACACCCCAACGCCACACTCGAGTGTAGTGTAGTGTATGTAACATTTTAGCTTTCTCGTTTGAGTTCGGAAAAACAATATAGAAAACTTGTACACATTACAGCTGTAAACATTTTTTGATGTTGTAGATTTTCGCCTCCTTCTTCTGCTTCTTCGCATTCACCTGTTGTAGACTGTGGAGAGATATTCTTGTTCTTTGTCACCTTTGGTCTAGTAACATAACCTGAATGTTGCATGTGCATCTGTTTTACAGATCTGGTTTACTCGTATGCAGAACTGTTGGTTCCTCGTCTCTCCGGCAGGATAAAAGACAGCAAGGACATTATATTATAGGTTTAAACATCAAGAAATTATAATAAATGCCTTTTCACGCCTTAGGCGCATCGGGTCTATGGGAAGAGCGTCCCATATTTTTACAGACCAATCAGTACTGGATGGGTAATGTGGTCAGCATTACGCCGGCCGTCTTTACTTCACCAGGACAGCCATCCACGGAGCCAGCAGTGAGAAATTATAATATAAGAGAATAACTGAGAGAGTGTAAAGGAAACAAACTATCATCCACGACCGTCACAAGGAACACAGGGTAAGCCGTGTGGTACTGATTGAGTTTAGCGTCACTAGCTTCAAAGTTATGCTAACCAGTTGTAGATTTGAACAAGTTAGCTGAGTATTCTTTACAGGACCTTGCAGAATGAACACCAGCATTTTTTTGTTTTTCTTGTTTTTTTTTATGTTGTGGGTTTTCTAAGCAAATTGTACGTTAAGTTGTTTTGCCATTGCTTACTAAACTTTCAGCTGAAGGTACTATTGTCAAAACAAACTCATGACAAATCAAACCAAGCAACACAGCATTACGAAGCGCGTTCACAACGCCTAAGCCACAGACGCCGACTATACTTGAACAAAGGATCCCTCACATATATGAACAGACAATGTATTGATCGGCACTCTTAGAAAGAATTAGAATTATAGATGGACACACTACACAACATACACAATCGAAAGCTGTGGGTGACGTGCAGGGAATCGAACCTGTCACCTCAAAATATTGCGTGCGCCTCGCTATGGAAACCAGTGTACTGAGATGCATGACCAACTAGGCACCATGAAATAAAAGTGTCATTTTTGGCTATGTCTATTGTACAGCTTGAAATCCACAACTATGGAATACTGACAGAACTGCTCTCAAACTATTTGAATTGTGCCACGAGTTACGGAAATATATATTAACCAAGCATGGGTCGAATAACCAACTCAACAACAATTGTATAAATATCAGACCATAACACTGTGTCTAGAATACAATGAACATAGTAACAGGAGGTGGCAAATATTTTGTCCCTGTGAAATTTCACTTTATTTCTAAAAAGGATGAAAGCACTAAAATGTATAATCAGTTGCTTGTGTCTTGTCTGTTCCAATACACATTTCATCAAAGTATAAAGTGGCATAGGAGGAAGAGAAAGAGGATGAGGAGGAGGAGGAGAAGGATGGGAAGATTTTATTGCAAGCCATCAAATTAAAAATTAAATTTAGGTTTTTCTTTCAAGTTTTCAAGCAAATTATATTTGCAAATTGCCCACATTCTTGGGGAATACCCAGTAATCCAGACCCATTATCGATAATTGGGGGTATCAGTTGAGAAGCAGCCTGGAAGTGCGACAGCTGGCCAGAAATACGCAAACGGATATCCGTATTTTCCCTGAATGCCCTGGCCCCAGCTGAGGTGATAAATATGATCCTGTATATATTTTGTTTTGATTTTCAGCCATACTTACAGTGGAATTGTTTATTGTATAACAAAGTGCAACACTGTGAAAATTCTTGTAACTGATGCAATTATACTGTCATGTGTATTTTTCTCTCATTATTAATTACATTATGATTGTAAAAATCGGATATCTTTGATACAATAAATGACAAGAATTTTACACCTCACAAACTAATTATAGATGCATTGTTAAAGAAATTAGCATTCGTGATCATTCTTACCCCAACCGATCGTTGTTTATTTGATATTACTAATATTTCAGTAATCGAGAAATTAAAATACCATTGAAACTGCAACGTTAAAGAAAACCGGCAAACATATATAGTATCCCATGTTAGTTCCAATGCCTCACTTTGCGTGAAATGAGAGGGGAAGGGGGAGGGGGGGGGGAGGGGGAACTAGTCTAACTTTTGCCTTAAAAAAGGCAATTTAATTAAGGACACATTTAAATCTCAAGTGTAAAGTCACAGGTGCAGATACTGCAGCCTAATTGTAAACCAGAACACAGCGTGCTAGGCATCCTCTTAGGGCCAACATAGAAAAAGAAGAAGAAGAAGAAGAAGAAGAAGAAGAAGAAGAAGAAGAAGAAGAAGAAGAAGAAGAAGAAGAAGAAGAAGAAGAGAAGAAGAAGAAGAGAAGAAGAAAAAAAAAGAAGAAGAAGAAGAAGAAAAAGAAGAAAAAGAAGAAGAAGAAGAAGAAAGAAGAAGAAGAGAAGAAGAAGAAAAAGAAGAAGAAGAAGAAGAAGAAGAAGAAGAAAAGAAGAAGAAGAAGAAGAAGAAGAAGAAGAAGAAGAAGAAGAAGAAGATGATGATGATGATGATGATGATGATGATAAAGAAGAAGATGATGAAAAAGAAGAAGAAGAAGAAGAAGAAGAAGAAGAAGAAGAAGAAGAAGAAGAAGAAGAAGAAGAAGAAGAAGAAGAAGAAGAAGAAGAAGAAGAAGAAAAAGAAGAAAAAGAAGAACAAGAAGAAGAAGAAGAAGAAGAAGAAGAAGAAGAAGAAGAAGAAGAAGAAGAAGAAGAAGAAGAAGAAGAAGAAGAAGAAGAAGAAGAAGAAAAAAAGAATAAGAAGAAGAAGATGAAGAATAAGAAAAAGAAAGAAAGAAGAAGAAAGGAAGAAGAGGAAGAAGAAAAAGAAGAAAAAGAAGAAGAAGAAGAAGAAGAATGCACTACATTTTATATTATTGAGGTACCTTTATAAATTCTGAGGGAATATGTATTAAAGGAATGACATAAACAACAGCTGAAGCGAATGCAGATTTTCACTAAATAAAGAAAACGTATTGCAATACATCCTTATCACTCGAGATGAGAAAGTGAATGTTGACGAGCTCTACTGATACAGTTAGTTGCCTATCCTTTGCAACAGTGTTCCTCAACTTTTTTAAAAATGCGGCCCATTGAAACAAATGGGCTTGTTTTGCAGCTCGTGGGACAGCTAACTAAACACAGAATCAAAACAAAAGGTCGAAAGCAGTTTATTTGTTAAATCATATAGAGAAAAAAACTAGTTTTCAGCTAATGTGACATCTGCTAGTGCTCAGACGTTAAAAAATGTGTTATATATATATATATATATATATATATATATATATATATATATATATATATATATATATATATATATATATATATATATATATATAGAAGGCTGGATCTCTGTTTCTATTATATGAGGCGCTACAGGAGACATTTTGTTAACACCAGCGGGTCTTGCTAGTCCCAATTGCCATTGTCATGGGCTGTGAGTCCCATACCTGCTCATGGCACCGTATAAGCCTATCGCTGCAAAGACAGAAAGGTGCCAATAATCACAATAATACCCATTCGATTTCTGTGTTTGGTTTGTATTGGTGTCCTGCCTAACAATGTCTTTTTATACAAACATAGAAAACTAGACTTGTGAATCCTATAGACTGGAATAGAAAATAGGAAAAGCACCTACACTACCTGGTTACATTATTAGACAGATTTGTTTTTTGGAAAAAGGGGAGTGGGGGCAGAGGGGGGGGGGGGTTGTTGAGCGGCCCCAAAGGAACGTTTCCGCTTCCCAACAGTGAGCTACGACCTACAGGTTGAAGCACACTGTTTTAGAGCACAATGCAAACCGTTCAAGCATTTTTGTGTGTGGCTTTTTCTGATTTTAATGGACAATTGTAACTCTCGCTGTCCCTTGTTAATAGGTAGTAAGTTCTTCTGCCAAGGCAGTGTTGTAAAATGTGACTTATGATGATACTGGATTTCACCAAAGCCTGGGTACGGTTTACTTGTTGACTTTTCTTCCAAGTTGGCGTGCGTCTGCCTAAGAGGTGGGGATCCAATAGTCTGCATACAACTAAATTAGAACCGTAAAACGGGTGTGTGCGCGCAATTTTCAACTTCGGGAACAAAGCCAAAGTCAAGAAGTAGACTTTTCCAGAACTTTCGGCTGGTCAACACCAAGGAGGAGACTGGATGTTTAAATTCGTTAAATATTTCCTAAAAGATTTTTATAAATTCTCGGAAAGGATTCATCATCATCATCACGTGCCCTGTCGAATGGGACAGTTCCACCGATGATATAACTCTGTGCCACCGTCGCAGTCCATCCATTATCGACTCTCTCGGTCTTCCTCTTCCACTGTTGATCTCCTCAGTCGTCTTAACATCCTCCACAGCCTCCACTCTCATCACATGACATCACTGCCTGCATTTTCCTTATAGCTGTATACATTGATCTGCTTTCGTTAGCTTCTTTCAAGCAATCTTCGTTAGTTTCTCTGGCAGTACGAGGGATTCTTAACATTCGTCTGAAAAACCACATCTCCGTCGCCTCTAAGCTCTGTATCATTTGTGCATCCATATTCTATGATTGACAGAAATTTAGGTTTTACGTAACATTCTAGTACTCTCAATCAGACATCCAAAGAGTGGAACCCGTTGCACAAGATGTTCTTCATTCAGTGTAACACAGCCTTAGAACACTGCTCCTATTCTGATCTTAATTTTTGACACACTTCTTCTGTCTTATGTTATGATTGTACCCAGAAGGATTAGACCGTTGTAAATTTAACTGGTTATCCTCACCTTGTTTTTTGTAATATAATATAACACTCAAATGCACTACGGCATTATTTAAGTAAAAAAGGTAAAGGACACTTTTCCGCGCCTTTAGGCGTATAGGGCATATA